TATATGTCCATATGGAGTAGGGCCCAGAGTTGGTTCACTTGTTTCTGAGTTGGCAGCAAGCAGAGAGAGAAATCTGGAAGATTACAGAAGAGGAAGTGAGAAGCCTTTTCTGTGTTGTTGGCCCTGTTGTGCTGAGCTCTTTGAAGCAGTGTCCACTGTCTCTGTGTCTCCGCTGCTGAGTTCCATGTTATTGCTGAGGACCTCGGAATTGTTTGTGGTACTGTTGTTGAGATCTTCAGGTTTCAGTAAAGCTACCTGTTTCGCAGGATCTTTGGGAGAATGATGAGTTCAGTACAGGTAAATTTTTTTAGTTCTGAACGAGCAAAAGTGTGAGACACCAAAAAGCAGATACATACAGTCATCCTGAGCCGATTGCAGCCTTTGCTGGAGAGGTGGAGGCAGCCAGTGGTGGCCTTGGAGAAGCACTAGAGCTGAGAGCTGAAAGCCTATGAGTGGAAGGAGGCAGGTGAGCAAATGAAGAGAGGAGTTGACTGGAACAGGAAGAGCTGAAAGGCTTCACTTCTGAGAGGACTGAGTGTGGTTGGTGGATGACAGTGCCTACTACTTGGAGGCACTGATTTTGCATAGGCAGCGAGAGCCATGGGAGGTTGGTTAGCAGAAGCATGGCAAAGTCCGAGTTCATTTTAGAAAGTTTCCTGGCAGCAGTAATAGCACAGATGGTTGGGAATGGGAGGGACTTTGCCAGCATCTGGATGAGACCTGGTGAGAGAAGAGTCAGAGTGATGGCCAGAGGCCCAGGAAGGGGAGGGTCAGACAGCCTGGAGGTGAGATCTGGCTGAGCGGTGCAGCACGCGAAAGTAGCTACAGAGGACTGGCGGTGTGGCCCACTCAAATGGCCTAGTGCTCTGAGATTTCTGAGAGTGAGTAAGAAAAAGGAATGTAACTCTGGCCAGTGGCTCAATTGGTTGGAACATCATTCCGTACTCCAAAAGGCTACAGGTTCAATTCGTAAGGACATATAAGGAGGCAACCAATCAATGTTTCTCTCACATCCATGTTTCTCTTTCTCCCCCTCCCTCCATCCCTCTCCCCTCCCCCCCCCCCCACCGAAAAAAAAAGCAAAAAGTCTTATTGGTCAATTTTATGTTGATTATACATTGAAATGGTCAAAAAACTTCTATATATCAAGTTAAATATTAAAATCAATTTCAACTGTTCTGAACATACTGCTAGAAAACTGAAAATTACATGTGTGGCTCTTTTGATATTTCTGTTGGACTTTAGCTGGCTGGCTGTGGGAGGAGGTTGGAGGGAGTGCCTAAGGTGAGAGGGATCCCAGTTAGGAGATGGAGGGAAAGGCTGCCTTGCAAGGTGCTGGCTGCTGGGTCTAGGGCTGGGACTTGAAAGTCAGGTCCCCGGTTTTGGAGGAGAGATAGAAGCTAGAGACATCGATTCATCCCCCCTAGGGGTGTCGAACTCAATCAGAGAAGGGGCCAAAATCTAAAATCCAGCCTAAATCGCGGGCCGAATGGTTTACTGAACAGTCATAAACTGTCATTGTGATGGAAACGCAGCGGAGTGCAGTGATGACAGCGCGGTGTGGGCCACATTGCAAGGCCTGGCGGGACGGATTTGGCCCGCGGGCCTTGTGTTTGACACATGTGCCCTAGACTCTAGGGCCTAGAGAGAGGGTGCTTGGCCTCCCAAGGAAGATGATAAAGAGAAATGCGACTTCAGACCTTGAATCCAGCCTAAGTCTAAGACCGAGGAGACCAATGAAGTGATCAGCAATGCCGGGGCAGAATCAGATCAGTGATGTGCAAGCCCGGATAAAGTGAGTTTCAGGAAAAGGGCCAAAACATACAAACAAAAAGATTGTGTTCTTTTTCAATCATGTGTGCATACTCGCTACCTTTCCAAACAAGCATTGGACTTGATGTAGCCTTATCTGTGCGATTTAGTGTCGTCACGGTGAATGCTGGTCACATGCAGATGTTCCACCCTGAAGGGTGGGCCATGTCCTCTGCCCCAAGTGGCCCCAGCTTCTTAAGCAAGTGCGTTTAAGGCTGCTCGCCTCCAGTTCTCTAAAGGTGACTTCTAACGGGCTGCCAAGTGGAGCAAATATTTGTGAGAGAAAATAAACTGGAAACTCACCTAAACAAGAGTTGAAAGATGGTGGTTTCCTGTGAGCATTCGGGGCCTTTCTTTGTGTTCTGTGCATTAGTAAGTCACCCAGGTCACTGAAGTGGTTTTGTGCTTCTCTCAAGTTGTTGGAAGGGCTTGCTTTGTGAAAAGGGGACATAGTGGGTTAGTTTTCTTTTTAGAGGGGAGGTAGGAGATCAGAGCTGTATTTGTTTTGTTTTGTTTTTAATAATTTTTAGTTTGTTTTTATTTTTTATATATTTTATTGGTTTTTTTATAGAGAGGAAGGGAGAGGGAGAGTTAGAAACATCCATGAGAGAAAAACATTAATCAGCTGCCTCCTGCACACCCCCCCACTGGGGATGTGCCTGCAATCAAGGTACATGCCCTTGACCGGAATCAAACCCTGGACCCTTCAGTCTGCAGGCCAATGTTCTATCCACTGAGCCAAACCAATTAGGGCTGTTTTGTTCTTTTAAAAGGATTAGTACAGATTCATTTTTTTATTTGTTTTAGATTTTTTTTTTATTGATTTTTAGAGAGGAAGGGAGAGAGAAACATTGATCAGCTCCCTCCTATCCTCACCCTACTAGGAATTAAGGCTGCAGCCTGGGCACGCCCCTGTCTGGGAATTAAGCCAGGACCTCTCAGTTCATGGGATTGCGCTCAACCGATGAGCCAGGGCGTGATGACATAGCAGAGGCCTTCCTTAAGGACGTTATCTGCTCTTTTTCCCCAACGACATTGAAAGTCCATTTTATTTCTACTGTAATATGTTTATTACATGAAGAGGTCTGAGTGCTTTTTTTTAATCTTTTTCTTCATAGAACCACCACCACCTAAAATTCCCAAAATAGAGGCCACTCACCCTCCATTGCCTCCGGCCCACCCACCGCCTCCAGGTCAGTGTCCGCTGAGAGCCACGGGATGGCAGCTTCTCTCTGCCTTTTTGGGGGCAGGCTTGGGAGGTCCTGGGGAGTTTATGGAAGGGAAGTTTTGCAGCCAAAATGTTAAAACAGTAGCGACCCAAGGATCTTTTACACAGAAAACTTTTACACAGATGTTTTGAGGATGTTGTAAGTATATTTGAATGGTCACATCCAGAAATGCAGAACTACCCAGGAAAAGTGAGTTTAGAATCAGTTTTAGGAAAACAGCCCGCCAGTGTATGAACATTTGCCCACATCTGGGCAGGGTTGCTGTAGATCTTAGATCTAGTGCTGTGATGGGGTGGGGGTGGGTCGGTGGAGCTGCTGGGCGCTGACTCATCTCTCCACTGCAGACCGGAAGCCTCCCCTCTCGGCTGCCTTAGGTGAGGCCGAGCCACCGGGCCCTGTGGATGCCACTGAGCTCCCCAAAGTCCAGATTCCTCCTCCGGCCCACCCAGCCCCTGTGCACCAGCCACCACCGCTGCCGCACCGGCCACCGCCACCGCCACCCTCCAGCTACATCACCGGGATGTCCACGACCAGCTCCTACATGTCTGGAGAGGGCTACCAGAGCCTGCAGTCCATGATGAAGACCGAGGGCCCCTCCTACAGCGCCCTGCCCCCTGCCTATGGGCCTCCAGCCCACCTGCCCTACCACCCCCATGTCTACCCCCCCAACCCACCCCCACCACCGGTGCCCCCTCCCCCAGCCTCTTTCCCCCCACCTGCCATCCCACCCCCGACTCCCGGGTACCCTCCACCTCCACCCACCTACAACCCCAACTTCCCGCCCCCACCTCCACGCTTACCCCCCACCCATGCCGTCCCTCCTCACCCTCCTCCAGGCCTGGGGCTGCCTCCAGCTAGCTACCCACCTCCATCTGTCCCTCCTGGAGGACAGCCACCTGTACCCCCACCCATCCCCCCACCTGGCATGCCTCCAGTCGGAGGCCTGGGGCGCGCGGCCTGGATGAGATAACCTGACGCCTTTTTCCCCTTTGTTTTTTAGCCAGTTTTTCTAATTGACTTGAAGGGTAGTGGAAGTGAGGAAGCAGCAGGGTACGTTGTATAATGCTAGACCCTTGCAGTATGGAAACATGGACCAGCCCGGGAGGTGAATCGGACGGTCCTCCACGCCTGGGAAGGGGACAGCTGGGCAGTGCCCGGGCCGCCCAGCTGTGCTGGTGTCAGCTGAGGGCCGAGTCCTGCACTGGGTGACTACACTAGTGAACTTGTTAACCAGCCATATTGGCTCAATAAATAGCTTCCGTAAAGAGTGAATTTCCTTCTATTATAGAAATCAGTGCCTATTTTTCCTGGATACGCAGTTTTCACCAGTCCCGTTCCACCTGAAGTCAGGCTGTGGTCATCACTTCCATTCCATGCTACCATGACACCCAGTCGGTCAGAACCTTTTTTGTTTTAGATATATTTACATCTTTGTATTAAAGTTATTTTGAAGGGGTTGCCTGGTTGGACGGCTTTTTTCTCTCTCCTCTGGGAAGAAGGGGAGGAGTGACTTGGGAAGTAATGTATGTTTACATCGATCTGCAAATTCCTGAACATAGATATTTTTTAAGTGTGAATGTAACAACATACTGTGAATTCCATCTTGGTTACACAGGAGACTCCTTCAGCCAGTTATCCAAATAAAAGCCGTTCTGGAAACTGTTACTGACGGTGGAGCTCGGGCCCGCAGTGCCCCTGGGTGTGATCGCCCTCTAGACCCCGCAGGCCTCGCTGCCCACCAGGCCTCACCCACGTCTCCTGGGCAGCGCCCTCATCGGCCAGCCTCTTAGGTTCCAGGTTAGAGGAGGGTTTGAATTGGAAGTCCTTTCCCTTTCTGGCCTGAGGCCTGGGCAGCAGCCCCCGGAATAGCAGTTAGTGGGCCAAATGGGGACGCTGTGTGCCAGCGGCAGCCCTCTGCCCAACCGCCCGTCACCGAGACAAACACTGCACACCGCCACGGAGGCTTGCAAAGAGCCTTTATTTATCTAGCGCAAAGTATACACTGTCACAATCTTCTCTGTTACCTTTTACTAAAATAGTTCAATGTTTTACCACACTATCAAAAAGTTCTAGTTCTTCTCTCCCCAAATCAAAGTGGTTCAATAGAAGGTAGAAATGGACCAGCCGGCAGGGCTGGCCATTCTCAGGAGGTCACATCCTACAGAAGACAGAGCATGGCTGCGGCCCGGGGGCGGGAACCAGACGTTCCGCCAGGTCGGGAGAGCAGCCCAGCCTCCCACGTCATGAAAATATACACCTCTACCGCTCCGCAGCCATGCACTGTTCCTTAAAAAAAAAAAAAAAATCAGTAGTATTTTGTTTTTTCTCAAGTTTTCAAGAAGAAAAAAAAAGGTCACTTTTTCTCTTCAAACACTGATGTGTAGCTAATCACTTCTGGATAAAAACACACCACCCTGGAGTGTGCCCAGCAGACTGCCACCCCAGGATGGGCCTGGCCACCAGGGGAGGAGAGGGTGGTCTCCGTCACAGTGGGTCCCCATGGCTGCGGGATCTAGAAGCAGAGGATTGGGAAAGCAAAGGGGCCTTTGTGAAAGGACACCGAGGCCAGTGCACCCCACCCACCGTGAGCTCAGCTGAGGCTCCAGGGGCGGAGGGTCACCCAGTGTCACCTACACACCCGTTAGTGGCAGAGCTGGGACCCCCCCACCCCAGCTTGTGAGCCCCCTGCAACTGCACATGGCGCAGTGGGGTCAGGCAGCGCTGCTCTGCCGCTGGCATTTCTCAGCGGATTACGTTGGGAGATGCCGTCAGGCACAGCGCCATCCCTCGCAGGGCTGGGTCAGGGATGGGCAGGAAGGTCTCCGGCAGGACCACTCCGCATGCTCCCTGCACACCGCAGCCTCGGGACAGGTCACCTCCCTCCAGGGGGCGGGCCCCGGTGAGCTGTCCCCGGGCCAGTGTGCAGCGTCGGCAGGTACCAGGCGGCCTTCCTTATTGCTTATTTTCAGTCGAGGCAAAGCCGACCTGACCGAACATGGCAAACGGGCTCCCGGACGTGGCTCCCACCCAGATGGCCCCTTCCCTCTTGGCTGCTCGTGGTTCTTTGGACTCCACAACCAGAGGGGGGGGCCTCTGACCCCAGCTGGCTGACCCCTTGTGCAGGAGTCACCCACCACCATGTGACAGGGAGCTCCCACCCAAACTGATGGAAGGTCCTTCGAAAGCCCACGGCTCCGGTAATGCCCAGGGCAGCACCCACTTCCACCCCTGGGCACGAGGAGGACCGAGAGCCTCTCCCGAGTGCACAACCCAAGGGCGCCAATGGCCAGTGACAGCAGGAACTGCCCGGTCCTGGTTCCCGTCCCTCACGTGGGCCTGGACAAGGCTGCCTGATGCAAAGATGGCCTGGGGCAAGGCCGCGGGCAGCCCTCAGGACCTGGGAGTCCGAGGACGGACGAGCTGGTGGGGCGAGTGGACAGGGCCTTCCACCCGCACTGACAGTGGCCTGCCTACTTCTTAGGCCTCACCGGTCAGGCCACTGATCGCCTACCCCCTCTGAGCCTCATTTTCCTCACACATGAATGTGAAATGTACTCACTGCACTTTACGGCCGACACATGGTCATTTACACTGATGGTCTCACTGGATCCCCGGGCCCCTACGAGGAGGCCCTCCTGCTCCCACGCTCCCTCGGAGGGCACTGGGCTCAGGGAGGAGAGGGACTGTCCCCCGGAGGAGGAGGCAGCAGGACTCAGCCCTGCCCCCGCGGCCTCTCCAGCAGACCGCCATCGGCTCAATGCTGTGAGCACAGCTGACCATAGTGATGGCCTCTACCACCAGCCCGGCTACGAGGACCCCAGACCTCACTTCACACCACGGGCCTAAGAGGCTGAGTGACGTGCTGAAGGTCACACAGGAAATGAAAGCTGGGGCCAGGACAGGCTCCTCCCAGGGGGACAGAACTCCTGTCACTGCAGCTGCGCGGCTCTGTCCAGTGGCGGAGGATGGGGCCGGGTTCCGGGGGGAACTCCACAGTGGCCCGGAGGCCCAGCTGTGACCGGCGCTTCCCATCCGGGGAGAGGGACGCGCGGGCTCCGCCGGGGACTGCACTCGGCCTTCCTGCGTCCTGGCCCCAAGTGAACCGTGGAGGCAGAGCTGCATGGGCAGAAGGGTCCCCAAAATACAGGGCCCACCTGGCACGGGGCAGGGTGACGCTGGGGAGAGAGGGGGGGGTGGATTCTAAAAACAAGCGGCAGCTGGCAGGAGGCGGCAGGCACAGGCCAGAGGGAGGGCCTGAGGTGCGCCCCTGCCCGTGGCTCTCGGGACTCGGTGCTCGGGGAGCCGGCGTTCAAGTCACAGCGGTGGACGGGAGGTGGCGCCCCGGCACCGGGTCCGGCGGCCAGTGGCCTTTGTCCGGTGCGGTGGCAGCCGGCAGATGGAGGGCTTCGTGAGGTGCTGGGCGCAGCCTGGCATGGGCCCTGGGCTGGGCGGCTCGGAGCAGCCTTCCGTCCTCGCACAGCGAGCCTGAGGCCTGGCCCGGAGCGGGGACAGCCGGCGGCTGGCTCGCCTCCCCGGGTGCTGGTGTGAGATGAGGGAGGTGGAGGCCCGGCCGGCAGGGGCCGCACCTGCGGCTGCCGGGCCACACAGGCAGCGTCCTATGTACAATGCGTCACAGAAGAAGAATTCAGGGGCTCGGCCGGAAGGCCTGCCGCTCCCCTGGGGCTCCCGGGCAGGGACAGTCCACGTCCGAGGAGGAGAGGCCTACAAAGGCCCCTTGAACTGGTTCCCAGACAGGTGCTGCCGGATGGAGGGCTTGGAGCTGGCAGCGTCTCCCAGCTTCCTCCAGACCACCTGTGCGGAGAGGAGAGGCGAGACATGAGGGCACGGCCCCGCCAGCCCGCCCGCCGGCCTGTGCGCCCATCCCAGAGCCGTGGGCCAGGAGGGGAAACTGAGGCCGCAGAAAGCTCAGAAGCACACTCAGGCCAGGTCTTTGCATGTCCATCCTCACAGCCACGCCTGCCTTCCTGAGCAGGTCACCATGGGGTGTGGGCTCGGCCTTGCAGCTGTCCAGAGGGGCCCATGGACCCAGAAGGCAGCATAGAAGGGGGGGTTCAGAACACCCCACCCCACGGGAGACCCCAGTTCGGCCCCTGCGAACCACCCTCCCCTCTGGCCCCTTCAAGGGTCCGGAGAGGACCCATGTTGGTGAGGTGGGTCTGGGGCAGCCCCAGCCCTGCAGGCCCACAGACTGGGGTGCTGCCTGCACCCCAGGCCAAGCACCCCCTGCATGACCAGCAGTCCCCAGGGCCACCACCCCGCTGGGAGGCCAGGAGCCAGACACCTGGGCCCAGGGCGGAGGGGCAGGACATGAGGGGTAAACAGGACCAGTCCTAGGGGCCGGGGGCACATTCCCGGGATGGACGGAGCCTGAGATCAGGGACCCCATTCATTCTCGGGGTTGGGGTGGGATGAGGTCAGGCCAGCGCTCCTGTGCCTCCAGCCAGCCCTCCAGGTCACCATCCCTTCCCCCGGGGAGGGTGCAACTCCCAGTGTCCGGCCAGGCCCGCCAGCCAGCCCTCCCCCGGACCCTGGCCCGGGCAGCGCCTCACGTTGCACATCTCGCGGACAATGGCCTTCTCCTTCTCACTCAGGTCCTCCTCGCAGCTGTCCTGGAGCTGCCGGTCCAGGTTCTCATGCACCTCCAGGACCTGCGGGGAACGGGGCCGGGTCAGGGGTGTGGAGACCCGAGGGGCAGGCCGTGCCTCCTCACTGTGTCCTCCCCTCCCCCAGGGGCACTGTGCCCACCACCCAAGGGAGGCTGCACCCTGTCACTGGGGCCAGAGCTAAGGAGGGGGCGGTCACCTGGGGGCAGGGCCGCCCTCGGACAGGTGGACTCGCTCTGACCAGGGCCCGGCTTGTGATTAATGAGCAGGAGGACCGAGGTCACCTCGACTCACGCACATGGGTTGTGCACACGTGTACATGTGCAACCATGGTGCACGGGGCCGGGGGGGGGGGGTAGGTGAGGGGCGCAGGAGGGGGCCCTGAGCAGGGAGGCCCTGCACCTGAGGCCTGGGCTTTGCTCCCACCCAGTCGGTCCTGCCCTGACTCCAGCCTTGAGGGAGTGCCCGCCCTCCCCCCCACCCCAGCCTCAGTTTCCCCAGGTGCAGGGATGGCAGACAGGTGACACTCGCTATCGGCGCCCGGCATCTTGGAGTCCCTCCCCCACAGTGTTCCAGGCCGTCACAGCCACCCGGTCACCACACAGGTCCCCCCCTGCTGCCCAGACACGCCCAAAGAGGTCCCCCATCCACATCACACCAGGGACCGGGCCCCTGAGGGGTTGGGGCCTGGGGGAGGGGGGCGGGGCCTGGCCCTCACCTTCATCGCATGCACGACCGCCTCGGGCTTCTGTCCCGCGGGGCTGTAGCCGGCGGAGGGGGGCGAGGACAGCTCGAGGACCGGGCAGGCCGGGCCCTGTGGGAGGGAAGCATGAGGCTTAGCTCCCCCTGAACAGACAGGCCCAGGTGGCGGCCGCAGGGGTCCCTGATGCTGTGGGGCGAGGGGCTAGGCAGGAGGAAGTGGGGGGAGTCGATGGGGAGAGGCGGCAAGGTGAGGACCAGGCCAGGGCAGAGCAGCCCCCCACCACGCCCCACGGTCTCCCCATACAGCACCCACGGAAGGTCTGTTATCCATTGTGCAAGGAAAGCGAGTGCCTGCCGAAAGTTTGGCTCAGGGGATGGAGCATCGGCCTGCGGACTGAAAGGTCCCGGGTTCAATTCCAGTCAAGGGCATGTACCTTGGTTGTGGTCACATCCCCAGTGGGGGATGTGCAAGAGGCAGCTGATCGATGATTCTCTCTTAATCGATGTTTCTAACTCTCTATCCCTCTCTCTTCCTCTCTGTAAAAATCAACAAAATATATTTAAAAAAGAAAAAAAAGAAAGCAAGTGCCGCTCAGAGAGGGCAGAGCCTCACCGAGGTCACCCCGCCAGCCCCAGGCATCCTGATCCCAAAGTCCCCGCCTGCTCCCCCCCAGCAGCCCGTGGGTGACTCACCATGAGTCTACACCCAGGCCCTGGGTTACAAGTCCCCAGCCCTGAGCCCCGCCTCCAGACCATCTGGCCACCTCGCCACCTGATTCGGCAAACACTGGCAATTCGGCACCCAGTCCCGTATCAGCCTTGGGGTGCCAGCCGGGGATGAGCTGGAGGAGGGTCCAGCCTCCCAGCACCTGCCCACCTGCGGCTGAGCCAGCGTGTCTCCCCGAGGAGCAGTGGGCAGGGCTTCTGCCTCCAACTGCAAGAAGGACCCTGTGTTCAGGGCCCACGGAAGCAGCTCACAGACAAGGAGGCCTCAAAGGGAGTCCAGGGGCCAGCAGCAACCAGGTGTCCAGAAAACGCCGAGAGGGGCCTGAGGGAACAGAGAGCATGGGACTGCCCGCCAGCACGGGAGCATGGGAGCAGGGACCACTAGGTGAGTGGCTGAGGGTCATGCTGTGCAGACACCCTCATGGCCTAGGCCCGTGATGGGCAAACTGCGGCTCGAGAGCCACATGCGGCTCTTTGGCCCCTTGAGTTTTTAGCGAAGGCCAGCTTAGGAGGACCCTAATTAAGTTAATAACACTGTACCTACCTATACAGTTTAAGTTTAAAAAATGTGGCTCTCGAGAAGAAACCAAGATGGCGGCATAGGGTAGACACCCGAATGCAGCCTACCACAACAAATTTGAATTTAGAACTGGAAAACAGGGGAGGCATTGCCCTGAAGCACTGGATGGCTAGCTGAGAGGAGACTCTGCCATCTTGGAAGAAGAGAGAAGGCACACTGAACCTCAGGAACTGTGAAGTTACAGAGAACTGTGCGTGCGGAAAGGCGCTGGCTTACTCCTGGGCACGGAGAGGGAGGGCCGGACAGAGATTGCTGCTGGCTTACTCCCGGCTGCGGAGAGGGCGGACAGCTAATGCGCGGCTGGCTTTCTTGTTCGAGAGGAAAACAGAATCACCCTATTGCTCTGACAGCCCCATTCAGGGAGAGGCCAGACTGTCAGGCAGTGGGCAGAGATCTCTCGGAGGTGTGTGAAGCCAGAGGCCATTACTGCAGGACTTGGGGAGAAGCCGAAGGGAAAACAAAGCTTGTCTGCACCAACCTGAGACTCCGCCCCATCCAAGCTGAGCACAGAAGCTCTCCCAGAGGCTGGCTTTCTCTAAGGAGGGACTGGCCAGAATCCAAAGCTTGTCTGCGCCTTTACCAAAGAGGTGCGCAAGACTGCAACCAATCTTCCGAAACTCACCGTGAACAGGACTTTTCTAAGGCGAGACTGACAGGGAACCAAAGATTGCGCCACCCCAAGACCCTGCCCCATCCAAGCGGAGTACAGAAGCCCTCCTAGCTGAGACACTGCTGATCCTCACAGCCAATTGGCTTGGAGATCAACCAACAATAAACAAGGCTTAACAACAAGACTGCACACATAGCCCACAAAGGGCTACACCAAGACTGTCCACTGCAGGTAACTGGGAAGGCTGTGCTACTGGGCTCTACCAGAACACCTAGCACACAAAACTATTCCATCAAATCAGAGAAACAACTAAAATGCAGATAAGAGGCAGGACACAAAGGAAGGAGATGGAGGAAAAGAAAAGATTGGACATTGAGTTCAAAACTACAGTTATAAGGCTATTCAAGAATATCCTAAAGAAGGCCAATAAAATAAATGAGACCTATGAGGATATAAAAAGGGAGCAACTAGAAATAATAAGGGATCAACTAGAAATGAAGAATACATTGTCTGAAATAAAAAATATTACAGAGTCCTAAAAACAGACTGGAAGATCTCAAGAATCAAGACAAAGATTTAGAATACAAAGAGCCAGAGGACACTCCTCCACAGAAGCAAGAAGATAAGAGAATACAGAAAGTTGAAGATAGTGTAAGAAACCTCTAGGACAATTTCAAGCGAACCAACATCAGAATTACGGGGATCCCAGAAGAAGAGAGAGAGCAAGATACTGAAAACATACTGAAAGAAATAGTGACAGAAAACTTTCCCCACCTGGAAAAAGAAATAGACTTACAAGTCCAGGAAGCCCGCAGAACCCCAAACAAAAGGAATCCAAAGAGGACCACATCAAGACACATCATAATTAAAATCCCAAAAGCAAAAGACAAAGAGAGAATATTAAAAGCAGCAAGAGCAAAGCAGGTAGTTACCTATAAAGGAGCACCCATACGATTGTCAGCTGATTTCTCAACAGAAACCATGCAGGCCAGACGGAAATGGCAAGAAATATTCAAGGTGATGAATAGCAAGAACCTACAGCCAAAAATACTCTACCCAGCAAAGCTATCACTCAGAATGGAAGGCCAGATAAAGAGCTTCACAAATTAAAAAAAAAAAAAAAAAAAAAAGCTAAAAGAGTTCATCACCACCAAACCAGAATTATATGAATTGCTGAAGGGGGTTCTTTAGGAAGAGGAAGAAAATAAAGATAAAAACTATGAACAACAAATACGTAACAATCAACAAGTGAAACTAAAAAACAAGGGAATTAAAAAATCTGATGAACAATATTAACTGGTGACTATAATAGAATCAGAGGTATGGAAGGGGAGTGGACTGACGATTCTCGGGGAAAAGGGGAGTGGAGGTGCGGGAAGAGACTTAACAAAAACTGTGCACCTATGGATGAGGACAATCGGGGGTGGGGAAAGGACAGAGGGTGGGGTGGGAACCTGGTGGAGGGGAGCAATTGGGGGTTGGGGGGGAGAGGAACACATTTGTAATAATCTGAACAATAAAGATTTATTTTTTTTAAATGTGGCTCTCAAAAGAAATTTTAATCGTTGTGCTGTTGATGTGGACTAATGAGTTTGCCGACCACTGGCCTAGGCAGCCAATTCCCTGACACTCTCCCCACCTACTGCTGGCTCCGGGGAGGCAGAGAACCAGGGCCGTGGGGTCTGGGGAGGCTGGGCCTGGGTGAGGCTCTGCTGGCTGAGACTTGAGGCAGGGACCCACTCACTGCCTCAGCGTCCTCGGCTGAACAAGAAGGCGACCTGTGTACCAGAGTTGGAATAGCGCCCTGGGGTGCAGCTGTCTTCCTAATGGCTGTCCAGGCTGCCTGGCCTCTGCCCCCGGGCCAGGCCTGTCATATGGGGGAGCCAAAACGATCTGGAAGCTCTAGGGGAGTGGGGGGTGGGGAGGCAGGTGGAAGGCAGGCCACACAGGCGAGCGACCTGTGGCTGAAGGCTGCACTCCCCGCACCGGCCAGGAGGGGGCGACAGCCACACACGTACAGTTAGGCACCTGGCCTTCTGGTCTCCTGTCCTGACTGTGCCTGGGACTCCCTGAACTACCTGTTGGGTAAGGAGGCTGATTCCCGAGCAGAGGCAGGAGGGACGCCGGGAGTGGCCAGGGAAGGCTGTGCCATGTAGCCCTTTCCTGGCCGGCATCCCAGGCTGCCCGATTGTGGGAATCCTGTCAATGAAGCCACCACTGGACACACCACATGGACAAATAACATGCCATCCGGGCTGTTCCCTCCGGGGCATACCACAGGCACAGCTGCCCGGCAGGAGAGGACCACAGAGGGGAGAGCTCAGGGCACACCCTGCTTCCTCGCCTCTGAGTTCTCATGACACCCTCTGGGCAGACACACTAGCGTTTTACATGCCCATTGCACAGATGAGGAGAGTGAGGCTGGACGACTCGTCAAGGCCAAGCAGCTGGCACAGAAGGGGGTTTGGGCCTCCACCCGGGTCTGTGGGACTCCAGAGCTGGGGCCAGAATGCAGAAGGCTAGTGTCTACCGGAGAGAACTGGAAACCTGTGTGCCCACATGCTGTCCAGAAGGCTCCCAGCAGCCCCATCCACAACAGACAGAAAGTGGAGACAGCCCAAATATGCAGCAACCGGTCAACGAATAAAAAAGTGTACACCCACACAAGGGACTGTCACTCAGCCATGGAAGGGCCCAGGGGCTGACACACCCTGCAGCGTGGCGGGACCTCAGGAACATGGCGCTGAAGTCACCCAGGACCCACAGCAGTTTACGTCTGACTCACAGGAAGTGCGCAGAACAGCCAGTCCATGAGTGGTTTCCAGGGGGTGGAGGAGGGGGCGAGGAGGAGGGTTTGCTAAGGAGTATAGTATTGGGAGGAGGAGAACGTGGAAATGCTCCCTGGTAATGATTAAAATTATTCCACAAATCTGCCAGAACCGGTTTGGCTCAGTGGACAGAGCATCGGCCTGTGGACTGAAAGGTCCCGGGTTCGATTCCGGTCAAGGGCATGTACCTTGGTTGCAGGCACATCCCCAGTAGGAGGTGTGCAGGAGGCAGCTGATCGATGTTTCTTTCTCATCGATGTTTCTAACTCTCTATCCCTCACTCTTCCTCTCTGTAAAAAAAATGAATAAAATATATTAAAATATATATATATATAATTATTACACAAATCTGCAAATATTATTTTTAAAAAAACAACACTGAATTGTAAGCTTAAAAATAGTCCACTAACAAAAAAAACAAACAAAAAAAAAGTGGGGAGACCAGCTCCCTGAGGGGCTGTCAAAAGCCTTGATCCTCCTCTCATAAGGTTGATGAATGCAAACCTCCTCCTTGAGGAACAGCTCCTTCCGTGGGGTCTGAGTCTGGGGTCCATCCAGCTGAGTCCCCCCTCTTCAGTCCGAAGCAGAAGCCCTGGCCATCTGAGCCAGTGATCCTTTCTGAGAAGCAGGAGGCCCTGAGCCACCACGGGGTCTCTGACACCGGTGCGCAGGGGAGGGGGAGGGGGTAGGAATGGGAGTCCCACCAGCCAACAGCCGTGGCGATCCGCCCGGCTCGCTCTGCTCACATCCCGGGGCCCAGCCCAGGTGCACAGCACTTTACAGTTTGCAGGTCGCTTAGAGGCTCAGGGACACAGCATTCCGTCACCCTGAGCCAACGGAATGGACAGAGCTGGGGGGGGGGGGGGTTGGAGTGGAGGAGCCAGCCAGGTGGCATCACTGGCTTTTCGGGGCCCTTGCTGAGGAAGGACTGGGCCCTGGTGCAGCCACAGGCTCCAGGATAAACATCGGGAGCACCTGCTGCCGGCGGCCTTGCTCTCCGCACAGCGTCAGCAGCTACATTCCCGCCAGGTGCGAGGCCTCGGGAGACAGACGCCCGGCAGCAGCTGCACCTGTGCCCGCCTCGAGGCCAGGGCAGCCCTGCAGAGGCGCCAGGACCCAGGGTCCGAGTCCAGGCCCACCTGCCCTCCCTGCAGAGCGGCGTCAGGCCTGGCTGAGGCTGGTGTGCGTGGTGAGTCCCCCGCACGCAGCAGACACTCCGCCAACGCTGGTCCTTCTTGCTACGATCATCCTCGGAGCTCGGGAGGGCCAGTGCCTCCTGGCGTCTGGCACACCCACGATGTGTGCCGTCCCCACACACGGAGGTTCCCATCACCCCACAGCCCCCCACTTCCCCTCCTCCCCGTTCCCGGCCACCACTCACGGGCTCTCTGCGCCTGGAGGGCTGTGCATGTGCACACAGGATGTCACACAGTCTGACAGACGCATCCACCCAGGACAGCCGTCCATGTCCCAGAGAGTCGCCCCCCTTCCCTCCCCCTTCCCCGTAGGGGCTGTCAGAGCCCAGGAGAACCCTGGAGCCCAGAGGATAAATGAGGTCCATAATCCATACCCATCCACCCTGGTACAGAGCCAGGGCAGGGATCCGACTTAGACGCCCAGCCAGCCCGCCCCGAGGGCCAGCCACATCCTCCCCGTGCCCTGTGTGTGTGTGTGTGTGTGTGTCCCAGGTGTGTGTGTGTGTGTGTGTGTGTGTGTCCCAGGTGTGTGTGTGTGTGTGTATGTGTGTGTGTGTCCCAGGTGTGTGTGTGTGTGTGTGTGTGTGTGTCCCAGGTGTGTGTGTGTGTATGTGTGTGTGTGTCCCAGGTGTGTGTGTGTGTGTGTGTCCCAGGTGTGTGTGTGTGTGTGTGTGTGTGTGTGTCCCAGGTGTGTGTGTGTGTGTGTGTGTCCCAGGTGTGTGTGTGTGTATGTGTGTGTGTGTCCCAGGTGTGTGTGTGTGTGTGTCCCAGGTGTGTGTGTGTGTGTGTGTCCCAGGTGTGTGTGTGTGTGTGTGTGTGTGTCCCAGGTGTGTGTGTGTGTGTGTGTGTGTGTGTGTCCCAGGTGTGTGTGTGTGTGTCCCAGGTGTGTGTGTGTGTGTGTGTGTGTCCCAGGTGTGTGTGTGTGTGTGTGTGTGTGTGTCCCAGGTGTGTGTGTGTGTGTGTCCCAGGTGTGTGTGTGTATGTGTGTGTGTCCCAGGTGTGTGTGTGTGTGTGTGTGTGTGTGTGTGTGTGTGTGTGTGTGTGTGTGTGTCCCAGGTGTGTGTGTGTGTGTGTGTGTGTGTGTGTGTCCCAGGCGGGACACAGGCCACTGAGGTGCACAGTGGGACCATGGCTAGGCCCGGGCAGCCGCTCTGGTGGCCTCAGGACACTGCCCGGTGCTGGGCCTCCACCTCCAGCCACCACACTGGCCCGTGCACAGCCCGGAGGGTCAGGAGCCCAGGCCCCTGGCTAGAAAGGAGGAGGGGGCGTGAGGGAGGCCCGGCCTGACCCGCTGCCTCCCCTGACCCCGCTCGGCCCCTGTCCACGGGCCCTGGCAAGCCACCAGCCGGCCCGAGCCTCCCCTCCCCCGGCAGGTGGACCAAGGACCCCGGAGGGGCCAGGTCTGTGGGGGATGGGGGCCACCGGGGGAGGGCACTTACGTTCTGCAGGGCGTCCTGGTAGGAGGGGGGCAGGCTGGCGAGCTGGGACTCCGAGTGGTACGGCGAGAAGCCTTTCCGCAGCGTCCGGAACTCCCCGGAGCCCGCCTGCTGCGGGAGAGGGGAGAGGTCAGGGGGAGCCGGGGGCTGTCAGTGCCCATCAGGTCTGACCCAGGCCCTGGGAGGGGCTCCTCCCTCCGGGCTGGGTCTGCTCTGGGCCCCTCCTCTCACACACACACACACACACACACACACACACCTGGGACACACACACACACATACACACACACACACACACCTGGGACACACACACATACACACCTTGGACACACACACACACACACACACACCTGGGACACACACACACACACACACACACACACACACACCTGGGACACACACACATACACACCTTGGACACACACACACACACACACACACCTGGGACACACACACACACACACACACACACCTGGGACACACACACACACACACCTGGGACACACACACACATACACACACACACACACACACCTGGGACACATACACACACACACACACACACACACACACACACACCTGGGACACACACACGCACACACACACCTGGGACACACACACACACACACACACACACACCTGGGACACACACACACACACACACACACCTGGGAGACACACACACACCCCTGGGAGAGAGACACACACACACACACACACACACACACCTGGGACACACACACATACACACATACACACACACAAACACACACCTGGGACACACACACACACACACACACACACACACACACACCGTGCAGCGGCCCCGTGTGTCCCATCCAGGCAGGCGCCTCATGGTGCTCCGTGAACAGGTAAGGGGGTGAGAGAATGGGGAGCAGCTCTCCCGCCCTGGATCTTTGTTCCTCGGCCCCAGCATCCCACCTTTGGGCTCCCCACACCCCATGCACCCCCTCTCCAGCCCCTGAGGCCCAAATCCACAGCAAGTCCTCCTGCCTCCCACAGGAGCCGGCCGGCGCTCGCCTCAGGGCGCCCCCACAGCGCCCCCCTCAGGACACCCCCACAGACCCCGCTCAGGCACTGGCTCCTGAGCCTCCACCATCACCAGGAGCTCCCACACGCAGGCCTGGGCCTCCGCCCTCTGCACCCACATGAGGCAGTGCCAGCTGGACTCATAAGGGACACCCAGGGCGAGCTCAGGAGGAGGGAGGGGCGAATGCGTGAGTGAATGAATGAGTGACTGAATGAATGAATGAACACATACACACATATCTGGCCTTACATCGTTTCTTTCAGGGCAAAGCAACCCCTCCCCGCCCTTCCTGGCAGGGCTGGGGGCTGGGACCCGGGACCGGAGAGGGAGAGTCCGGGGTCGTGCCCAATCGGCGCAGGCCCCGTGGGCCCGCTGAGCAGAAGCCACGTGGCATTCCTGGCCCAGGCGCCCTCTCCCCCTCCGAAGGCAGACAGTCTGCGGGAACGTCCCATAAATCAGTGGGCTGTGGAGTTACCCAAACCGACGCCGGAGGGAGAGGCCGGCCGGGGCGGGCCGGGGGCCAGGCTGCAGCAGCCAAGCCTGGGGGCCCCTCCCGATCACCACCCTCTCACGGTGGCCCCCAAATGTGGCGGGGTCTCCCCAGGGAGACCTTGGCACGCCCTCGATCTTACAGTGGGACCACCGCGCCCCTGATCCGGGCGGCACCTGGGTTACGCCGCCCTGTCCTTCGGCACACGCGGCCCGGCCTCTGCTCCGGCTGCCTCCCCGCCCCCAGCCTCCCTGGCCCCGGACCAGACAGGCTCTGAAGCAGCCACGTGTTGTTACTCCAAACACCGGCCTGCGCCTCCTCCCTCCCCAGGAGGGGTGCGTGCACCGGGCGAGCAGGCGGGCGGGGAGGTTTTTAATTAGCGGCATGCCATTCCCGCCGCCTCGGTGCCCCGGTAAATATTTGCACGTCCTGCACAACTTTATTAGCAGCCTCTGAGCTGGTGGGAAAACATGCAATCTCTCGCCAGGGGCAGCGTGACTAACGACGCATCAGAATGAAGAACCGTAATTGCACTTGAATCCAAATTAAAATCCTGGTGTTTGCCTGTCTGTGCCCGGGAAGAGAGAACCCCCCCAGGTTTTCATCACTGGGCCTGCGCCTTGGGGGTGGGGGCGGGGGTGGGGGTGGGGGTGGGGCGGGGAGGGGGCAGGGGCAGGGCCACGGTGCTCCCCGGGGGAGGACGCCTGCTGGCCAGCAGCTCCCCTGGCATGGAAAGGGATCTGACACCAAAGCAGGAGCGGAGCGGGATTTCCTGAATCCTTAAAAGGGAAGGAAGTCACCCAGGACTGCAAACACAGCACTGGCTCCACTGCCCGCCCCCTGGGCCGGGAGGGCAGCTCAGGAGGCTGCGGGGCCTCCGTGTCCACCCTCAAGGGCACGGGGCTCTGTGCAGGGCGGTCACCGCCACGCCACCTGGGCTTAGCAGGCCCCCCTCCCCCCGGGGCTCCTGCCGGCAAAGCTACAGGAACGCGCCCGGGGCCCTCGCTCCCCACACCTGCGAGCACTGTCCGGAGGGCCGTGGGGGCTCCCACCACAGGGGGTTCTGGTGGGCGGCTACTCTCACCTCTGCTGCCTGCCCAAGGGTGACCCAGGGCCCGGGCTGGTCTGTGTGCAGTGGCCGCGGCGGTGCCCCTCAGAGCCGCCGTCCCAGGTGACGCTGGCCTGGCCCATCGGGCCGCTGCCCTCCAGGCGCAGGGAGGGGCGGCCCAGGCCTGGGCTCCAGGGACGCGGACCAGCCCTGCTTCCCAAAGCAGGGAGCCCCCCCGGCTGGCAGGGGCGCAGCGGGGAGTCCAGCCCTGGGCCAGCCGGGAGCCACCAGCCCCTCCTCCCACCCTGCAGTTCGGGGTCCCCACAGCAGAGTGGGGTGCTGCAGCCTCACCAGCAGGGGGTCCCGTGAAAGTGGGTGAGAAGGGCCCGCATGGAGCAGCCCCCGGGAAGGGACTGAGGGGACCAAGGGGCCCACACGTTAACTGGCTGCCTCCAGCACACACGCCGGCCGAGGCTGGGGAGCCTGCCACCGAGCTATGTGGCCTTGACGGGAATCGGACCCGGGCCCTTCATCCACTGAGCGAACCGGCTAGGGCGGCCCATGGATTTAAAACCCCCGACGTAACCAAGACCAGCAGTGTCTGCCACACTGGCAGCCTCCCCAAGGCTCCCACCAGACCCCACGCAGCTGCCCTTTGGGAGAAAAGCACCCGTCAGAGGGGCAGACACCCCCAGGCCCCAGCTGGCGCAGAGAGGCCCGGTTGGGATGCATGCCCGGCTGGCCGCGACTCTCCAGGCCCTCACAGGAGCCGAGGGCTCCTACCAACCAGATTAATTTTCTCTGTGTTTGCAGGCCATTAAGGACCTGGTGGGGCGGGGAAGCGGGGGCAGGGGTGCTCAGGTCAGCAGGGAGCTCCACGTGCGGTTCAAGTTCACCCCCATGGCTGGTGCCGCTCTCTGCTCCCCTCCCCTCCTCCGTAACCCCCCCCCCCCCCCCGCAATCTCCGGCCCGAAGCCTGAGTCTCACCCTCAGGTGTGCGCTGCCCAGGACCCAGGCCTGTGACGGACGGTAGCATGTGGACGAGGTCTCCGTCACATGACTGTCCCCTCACAGATCCCCCGGTGGGTGGGATCTGAGCAACCCACCAACTCGCAGAGTGTCTGCCCGCATGTAAACCGGGGTCAAGAGGGACACTCAGGCCTGGCCAGTGTGCTCAGTGGTTAGAGCACCAGAGGGTCACAGATTCCATTCCTGCCCAAGGGCACGCACCCCAGTTGTGGGTCACTCCCTGTCCTCCCGTCCCCCTCCCCAGCCCTTGTCAGGGTGCATGCGGGAGGCAACCAGTCAATGTGTCTCCTTATACTGATACGCCTCTCTCTCTCTGTCACTCTCTCTCCCGCCTTCCTCTCTTCCCTTCTGCCCTGAAAAGCAATGGAAAAAGCAGGTGAGGGCTTTTAAAAAGGAAGAACACTCAGCTGCCAGGTGGCCCACCACCTCGGTGTTTTCCACGGCTTGCCCTTTAACCCGGGGGCAGGCACCTCCGTTGTCTCCATTCTGCCGACGGGAACACCCAGGCACCGGGAGGGTAAGCCCCCGGCCCAAGGCCGGCCGGCCGGGAAGTGGCGCTTTGGGGATTTGAACCGGACTCTGGCTCAGAGTGCTGGGCGTGGCCTCTCGCTGCTCGGACTCTCACCGCACGTGGGTCGCAGGGGACGCCGGCTAAGCCTCGGGCAAGGAGACGGGTGCAGCGACCGCTCCTCCCGCCCCTGCTGCCAGCCTGGCCGTCTGCTCAGAAGCTGGAGAGCGGGCTCCTCCTGGCTGAGGAGGCCGGACCAGTTCTGAGGCTCTGAGGCATTGAATGAGACCACGGCGCCCATGACAAACGGGTGAGGACGCGATGGCCAGCCCCAACCACCAGCCAGGCGGAGCAGGAGCAGGAGGAGTGGCCCGGAGCCTGTTGGCACAGCAAAGTGTCACGGGCGTCCCGGCAGGCAGAGCCACTGCTGCAGACAGGCCACAGGGCCGGCGTCTCGGGGGGCCTGGGCGGGGACCCCACTCAGAAGGGCCGGCCTTGCTCGGGGAATCGGGGGACAGGGCCAAGGCATCAGCGATGGGCTTGGAGGGGGGCGGACCAGCCCCCTCACCCCCAGCCTGGATGGTCCAAAACTCAGGCCAAGGGCAGAGAAGCGTTCCTCGGGGAGGGGAGGTCCAGGGCACCGCCCGGTGGCACAGTCCCCAGACGCTGAAGCAGCCCAGGGCCCGGGACCAGGAGCAGGGGCGAGGGGGAGAAGGTGAGCCGCGGCCCCAGGGACTCCCCAGGTGCGGGGTTCCAGGCCTCACCGTTATCCGTCTTACCGGTGCGGGGACCGAGGCCCGGCATGTGCAGAGCTGAGCCCAGGCCGCAGGGCGGGTGGGGCTGGCTCAGGGGCTCCTCCAGGACCCAGAGCCGCTTTCGTGCCCATCGGGCCACCAGCAGCACAGCGAGGCTGGGCTGGCAGTCCCCCTCCTGCCCTCCCCCCGTCAATTCTCGTGTGGATGCCTAACCAGGACTTGAGAATGCACCTACTTGGAGATGGGTCTGCACAGAGCTGACCAAGGTAAAGTGAGGGCCTGGGTGGGCCCTACTCTAATAGGGCGGAGGAAGCGAGACTCACACACACACACACACACACACACACACACACACGTGCGCGCGCACACACGCATACATACACACACATACGCGCACGCACGCACACACAGGAGACATTGTAGACACGGAGAGAAAACGGCCATCCCCTCCCCGCCCTCGAAGGAATCATCCCGGCCTCGGTCTTGAACTTCCAGCCCCCAGGACCGTGAGACATCACATTTCACTGGTTTAAGCTTCCCGGGGTGTGGCTTTTTTGTTATAGCAGCCCCAGCACACTAATACCATCCGTCCCCCACGCCAGGAAATCTGCTCCACCCCGGCCTCAGTTTCCCGCCCTGCGTGGCCCGGCAGAACGGGGCCCCCGGGGTAAGCAGGCTGCCTGCCCGGGGTGACAGCTCCGTGAGCGAGTTCCTTGCGCTGTGAAAGCGGGCTTCTGGGCGCGCACAGGCTCCATTTATCAGCCCAGCAGGGGAGGGAATGGGGGAAGAGGGAGCACAGGCCCGGCATCCATCACAGCCCCCGCGCCCCAGCCCGGCCGGCCGGCCGCAGAGACTCCGCAGGAGAAATAATAGCGCGTCCGGGGCCGGCGATGAATCACCGAGGAGGAAGCAGCTGTGTTGATGAAATTTTAAAGCTGACGGGAGGAGGAAAACACGGACGGCAATACCCTCATCCCGTCGGCGAGCCCTCGGCCACGTGTTTTAATTAAAGCTGCTTCCGAGTTAAACTGGGGCCGTGGGGGGAGGGGGACTCCACGCAGGCTCTCTGCCCTCCCACCCCAACGCCAACGCCACGTCCCCCTAAGACAGACCCCAGAATGCACTGCTCTCCCCGGCTCCGCCGACCGGCGGGTCCCTCGCTCTGCAGAGCTGCAGGTTCCGTGCCACCCGACCTCAGCGACAGGCCTTGGGTGCCGGAATCGTAAAAATCTCACAGGCCAGCGCTCATGAGGCCGAGGCCAGGATCCACCTGCAGCAGCAATCGCGTCAAGGTTCCCAAACGTAGTCATCCACCCGTCACTTGATTACCTCCAGAGACGAGGTGCTCACTCCCTTAGAAAGCAGCTATCCCTGGTTAAGCAGACCCTCCCTATTCTGGGCAAAAACCAGCCTGGCCTCTTGGCCTAGGACTCTGGGGGGAAGAGGGGAAGGGGAGGGGGGAGTGGCTCCGTCTAGCTGTGCTGAGCATCGGAGACACACCTGTGACAAACCCTGCAGCCCAGACCCTGAACAGCTGACAGTCCAGCAGGGCTGGGGCCAGGCTCCCCCCAGGAGGGTCCCGGAAACTATGGGCAACGGCGGGCAGCCCACAGGGCCAGAAGCTCAGAACGAGGGCCAAGCCACTCGGGGGCGGGTGGGAAGGCCGTTGGCAGGAGGCCACGCCTGAGTGGGCAGCCATGTCTTGCCGGGAAGATGAGGGCTGAATAAATCGCACCTGCCCTGGCCCCCCTTGGGACAAGGCCAGTATTCTCTCCGAGGGCCAGGTCCTGTGCACGGCTCTCCCACCTCCGCTGTCCTCCCAGGGCCCCCTCACACACGGGAGTCCTGCTGAGGGGGGCAAGGAGGTGGGCAGGCCGGCAAACGGGGAGCCTGAGCTCCCTGAGGGCGGGGTGACATTCAGCCAGGGATGGATACAAGGGACAGAGAGGCAAGGGGCTCAGCCAAGCCAGCTGGCCCCTGGCACCCCAGCCAGGGCTGACCACAGCCTCCATCGCTACCCCTGCCCAGCAGGAAAGGCCTATCCTGCTGGCGGGCAGCCCCACCCCGGCCGGCCACAGTGCCCTGCCCTGCCTCTCACTGCTCCGTCCTCACGGCTGGGAAGAAGACGTGACCTCACCTATCCGGGGCAGCGGCCAGGCCCAGCAGGGGGAGGGGTGACCCCCGCTCTGAGAGGACTGGGTTACCTCCAGAGACGGTGCACTCACTACCAGACAAAGCAGCTCTCCCTGGTTAACCAGACCTTCCCTGTTCTGGGCGAAAACCAGCCTGGCCTCTTGGCCTAGGACTCGGGGGTGGGGGGCAGCGGCTCCGTCCAGCTGTGCTGAGCACTGGAGACACACGTGTGACCACGTAGACCCTCAGCCCAGACCCTGAACAGCTGACAGTCCAGCAGGTGGCGGGGCAGGGAGGTTTCCACGTGGGGCTGAGTGAAGCATCCCAGCCCGCCTCTGGGGCCTTCCTTCACCCTCACCCACCCAGGGGGCCAAGCAGCCCACTTCCTCAGCAATCGTGTGTCTCCCCGTCTCCGGGGCAGGCCCTGGGCAGCCCCCGGGAGCTCGGAGTCCACATGGGGACAGACGGAAGGACCCCAGAGGCTTGGAGCACGGTTAGGCGCCAGCACCCGAGGCAGCTTGGGCCAGGAGTGGCAGGCCGGTGGCAGTGGCAGGCCGGTGGCAGGGGCAGGCCGGTGGCAGTGGCAGGCCGGTGGGAGTGCCAGGCCGGTGGGAGGGGCAGGCCGGTGGGAGGGGCAGGCCGGTGGCAGTGCCAGGCCGGTGGGAGTGCCAGGCCGGTGGGAGGGGCAGGCCGTGGGAGGAGCCAGTAAGCTGGGCCAGGGGGGCCTGGGAGCTGGCCTACCTGTGTGAGGAGCTTGTCACCCTCCAGCAGCTTCACCTTGGTCTCCAGCTGTCGGACGTAGGTGGCCGAGGGATCTGCAACAGACAAGGGAGCATGTGAGCATCCGGTTGCATCTCTGGCGGGAGCCCTGCCCTCCCCTCCCTCTCCCTCCGCAGAAAGGAGGGGAGGGGTTCCCTCGCCAGCTCATCCCGGCCTCGTCCTTCAGTCTCGGCGATGATCTGGGCCCCAAAATGTCCTCTCCACGCCCCTGACGGGACCCTCACGCCAGGTGCAGGTGGGGAAACTGAGTCTCCAGAACATGCTAACACCGCATTTGCCACCCTGGGCCTGGTGCTCAGAACTCTGCAAATGCTCACACCTGTCAGAATTGCTATCATCAACAAATCAACAAACGACAAGTGTTGGCAAGGTTGCGGAGAAAAAGGAACCCTTGTGCACTGCTGGTGGGAATGCAGACTGGTGCAACCACTGTGGAGAACAGTATGGAGTTTCCTCAAAAAACTGAAAATGGAACTCCCATTTGACCCAGTAATCCCACTCCTAGGAATATATCCCAAGAAACTAGAAACACCAATCAGAAAGGATATTTGCACCCCTATGTTCATAGCAGCACAATTTACAATAGCTAGGATTTGGAAACAGCCTAGGTGCCCGTCAGCAGATGAGTGGATCAGGAAACTATGGTACATCTACACAAGGGAATACTACGCTGCCATAAAAAAGAAGGAATTCTTATCATTTGTAGCAACCTGGATGGAACTGGAGAGCATCATGCTGAGTGAAATAAGCCAATAAATGAAAGAAAAACACCACATGATCTCACTCATTTATGAATAATGAAGAACATTAAAAACTGGAGAACCAAAAGATAGATATAAAGACAGTAAAGCAACAAACAGCGGGAAGGGTAGGGAGATCTGGGGGAGATAACAGATCAACCAAAGAACTTGTATGCATGCATATAGGCATAACCAATGGACACAAAACTCTGGGGCGGGAGGGCATGTATGGGAGTGTGGGGGGGTGGGATTGGTAAGATATGTACACATATAATACCTTAATTAAAAAATGAAGGGAAAAAAAGAATTCTGCAAACGGTGTGTGGGGCGGGCACACAGGGCCTCCGCCGTCCCGGCAGGACTCTGACCAGCGCCAGGCCAGCCAGACACTCCCCCCCACACCCCCCGTTCCGAATGCAGCGTGGGGCAAACCCACCCTCCTCACCACACGGCCCCTTGGCAATCGAATCAGGAAAGCAGGCAGAATTCCACCTCCCCCCCGTTCTGTCCCGTGTGTCCCCCCCACCCCCCCAACCCCCGCCACCAGGACCTCGGCCCTGCCTCAGCCGCCGGCCAGAGGAGGAGGTGATGACAGAGTCACCAGGCCAGCCCGCGAGCAGGGAGCCCGCCGGGTGGAGGCCAAGGCAGAGGGCTGGGGCAGGGCGGCCAGGGTCCCCAGCCACCTCAGCAGGCGTGGGTGCAGGTGCGGGTGCAGAGGGGAAAGAAGGGGAGTCCGGCTGAGCCATACATCGTGGGGCACCTGCCTGGGAGGGGTCAGTCTGTGTGCCGTGTGCCTCTTGTCCACATGAGCACTCGCCAGAGCTTGCCGGGCCCAAACGCCAGCCTGGACCCAGGCCCCCCCCAGGCCGGTCACTGCTCCCCAAGAGGATGCAGAGCCTCCCAGGTCACGCCAGACCTGAGGCCCACGCCAGCACCATAACTCCCCACCACCACCACCGCCACCACCACCGCCTGGGGGACGCGGGACCCAGGGGACAGACCCCCTGGGCCTCTCACACTCCTGGGGGCGGGCCAGAGGGGCTGGGGTGCTGCCGGGGGATACGCTGCACCTCACACCCCACACCCCACACCCCACACCCGTGGGAACAAGGAGGCACCCGTCCACTCCCAGCTCATGGCTGGCACAGCCCCCCGGCAACCTCACGGATGGCATGACTGTCCCCGACAGGTGCCCTGCAGGACTGGACAGCTGCAGCCCCTGCCAGAACCCCGTGACCTTCTGCAGGCGGCATGGCCCGGCCCCAGAGCTCCCGGCCCTCACAGGCCTCCCCAGAGATGAGGTGGCTTCCTGCAGAGGTGCCGTCTGCCCTCCGCCTGCCTCTGTGCTCCTAAGCCCAGGGAGGGGCCTCGGGAGCCCGCCCGCAGCCCGGGCCAGACCCGGGAGCGTCTGCGTTTGTGGAGCATCGGGCCAGCCCTGGGCGGAGCGGAGGAGCAGCCTGCCCACCCTGGGGAGCGGCAGAGCCGACACCTCCCGCTCCACCGCCCAGTCACCCCTCAGGAATTCGGAGCCTGTGGAGACGGGAGGAGTGGCTCCCAGCCAGGCCGGCCCACACTCAGCTCCAGGGGTGACGCTGGTGACCACAGCCCGGGGGGTTGGGGCTCCCCACTCTAGCCTCACCTCACCCCGGCTCCGGGGCGCTCCCTCTGACCGCCGAGGAGTCCGGGTTCAGAGCGGTCACGTGGCTTGTCCGGAGCACAGGGCAGGGCAGTGTGGAGGGGAGGTCAGACCCAGGCTGTGGCCCCCAAGTCCACCCCACGGGGACCCCGCGAACGCGGCCAGCACGGGGCAGACCACCTGCCCGGCAGCCGGTGCTGGCCCCAGCCTCAGTTTACTCATCCGTTACCCCAAAACTGGCAAGCAGCTCCCACGTCCCTTCCCAACTTCCGGCCCGGAGAACAGGCCTGATGGGAAAGGCCTCCGTGTCCAGGGTGTGCTGGGCACAAGGATGGAACCGGGGTACAGCCTGGGCTTCCCCAGCCCTGTGTGTGCTCACACGCTGCTAACAGGAGGGTTCCCCGGAACACCCACTGGGAAACAACGGACAGGACACACTCCAGAGGCGCCCCCGCTCTCCCACCCATGCAGGCTAAGACAAGGAGGCCCGGGGGTCTCCCTGGGTGGGGTCGGTGGGGGACAGGAGGAGCCACACACACCATGACACACGGAGGCCCCATCCGGCGAGGGTCCAGCAGGCACCGTCCCCGCTTTCCGGGTGAGGAGGCCATGAGGAGCACACTGCCCCCCGGGCGGGAGGGTGAGCAGGGAGGTCCGGGGCATAGCCCCACCCCTCAGCGCTCAGGGCCACCCCGAGGCCAGGGCCCAGGGCTCAGGGCCCAGGGCCTGGGCCCGCCGGGCACAGCGCTGAGCCCAGGAGAGGGAGCACCGGCCTGTCCGGCACTAAGGGGCACACATCCCTGCACAGCCGGAACCTTCCGTACAGGCACGCTGCCACCCCCGGTCCCAGGGCCATGGGGTCCTGCCTCTTCCTGCCATTCCCATGGGTGTGGGGGCGGGGGGGGGGGGAACATGATTGCACTTTCACGTTGCACAGCCAGCCACGGACGTCACTTACGCTGTTAATCCAAGCCTGCCCTCCCCCGGGCCCACAGGCTCCAGGCCCCCTGCGCGTCCGGATAAGCCCTGCCACACCGGGCCCGTCCCCACACTCGGCTGCCCGCGGCCAGGAGCCACAGCGCAGGACGCCTGGTCACCCACAGCAGGCGCCCTGGATGCGGAAGACTGAGAGCGGTGGACCCTGCGGGGTGGGGGCAGGGGCCTCCCAGGAGGGCAGGAGACCGGGCAGGGCTGGACACCGGGGCGGGGTGGGGGTGGGGGTGGGGAGATCCTCCCCAGCAGCCTCAGGCTCGTCATGATCCCGCGGGCGCCGCAGAGCCCCAGCCTCTCGGCGAGAGCGTGTAATTAAATTAATCCCGGTCGCAGGGATGAGAGGAGCCTCGAGGGAGGGAAGCGTCATTTCCCGGCTTCGCTGCTGTGGGGAGGAGGGGGCGACTACAGACGGGACTCCAGGCTGGGCCAGTGTGGCGTGCCCTTGGACCTTCCCAGCCCGCCTTGGGCCCTGGGCCAGTTAATTCCAGAGGCTTCCTGATGGAGCTTCCATCTGAGGGGAGCAGGGGGAGAGGGCCGGGGGTATTGGGGGGGTGTTCCATGCTGGCTTCCAGGGGCCAGACACCAGCCCTCCTCGCAGGCCCTCTGTGCAGCGTGGTGGGCAGGTGTCCCGTCTGCAGGCCGGGGAGCCCCTCCCCACTAGCGCTGCTCGGGTCCAGCCCAGGAGCCGTGTGCTGAGCGTGGTGTGACCATCTGGAGACCCTGCCTCCTGGAGGGCTGCCAGGACAGGCCCCTGCCCCCTCCCCGCTGGCTTCTCCTCCCTGGCTAGGCGGTGTCGCCCCAGCCTCACCTTCAATCCGAACGGTAAGAATCGGGGGTCCAGAGGCTGCATCTGATCACCCCTGTAACCCCCTCCTCACCTGGCTCACTGCTCAGCACATAGTAGGCCCTCAGAAAAAGACCGGGGGCCTCTCCTTCCACTTCACCAGGAGGGTCCATGGCGGGCAACCAGGCGGCCTGCCTCCCGGCCGCGCTCAGGGCTGCTGCCCTCGCCTGTGACACGCAAACGTGTCCCGGTCTCCCCGGGACCCCACTCCCCAGGGTCTGCCAGTGGCCCTGTCTCTTTTCAAGGCCTTGGAGGTGTAGTCCATGGCCCACCAACTCTTAGGACCCTGGGCAGTCCTAGCGGTCACCACTGACCGAATTCCTACAGAGCAGAACCCAGGACCAGAGAGCAGTTAAGGCCGCCCGAGGGGGTGAGCTCCCCGTCGCTAGGGGAAAGCAAGCAGAGGCTGCAGGGTCTGGGCGCAGGTGTGAGGAGGACACGGGCAGGTCAGCAGAGCAATAGGATGCTCAGAGAGAGAACAGGCCCAACCAGCCCAGCAGAGCCGGGCCGGCAGGGCCAGCGCGACACATGCTCGTCCGGGGACACGGGCCCTTCTGGGAGGGCCCCTCGACCTCATGAGAGAGCAGGAGGAGCCACCTCATGGGCTGAGGAGCAAAGAGCGGAGGAGAGAGGTGCAGCCTAAGGGGGAGGGGAGCGGAGAACAAGGATGTGCTGATGGGGAGAAATCAGGGGCTCCTCCCTGGAGGCGGCGGCACCTGAGCCAAGCGCTGAAGAGCAAAGCCGGACTCCGACAGGCAGGCAAGCAAGGCGGGGACGAAAGGCGAGTCCGCGGGCCCAGCGTGGGCACAGGCACGGAGGCGG